GCGTTACTCAGAAACATAGAAAAATGATGACTCTCTATTGCAAGACATCAATGCATGCGTTATTTTTCGGAAATAACAATTGCTGCGAGCCTCGTAATTGTGATGTGGTGATCTCGACTTCCTATTACCGAGCCATAACTGTTAAAATACTGTTGTAGAATGTAGAATGTTTAGGAGGGGAGTTTAGAGGAGGGCCAGTTAGTAGAGTGTTCGCTCCTTTCCTAGCTAGAACATTTGCTTTTTCATTGCCTTCTATCCCTTGGTGAGCAGGCACCCAGAGCAGGAGGACTTTATTTTCCTTGCCTAATTTGTTGAGCTTCTCTAGGCATTCTTTGACCAACTTCGAATTGATGGTTACTGAGTTGATCGCGTTTAGTGCTGCTTGACTATCGGATAGGATGACAATTTCCTGTTTTCGATAGTTCCTATCTAAGATAAATTGTAGGCATCTTTCGATAGCGTAAATTTCTGCCTGAAGGATACTGGGGTAGGTGCCCATTGGTTCAAAGTATTTGGTTTTCGGCCCAAATACTCCTATCCCTGTCCCTGCTTTGCTTTGGTTTTGGAAGCATCAGTATACCACGTTATGGTATGGTCTTTTATATGCTGAGTAAGCGTTTCTTCCTTCCAATACTTTTTATTACTCAATACTACAGTGAGGTGTTTGGAGGACACTGGGAGTTGAAGAAGTGGAATTTTCTTTTTGAGGGTGTTCCAAGCCCCTGACCTGAAAATTCTCCCATCAATACTGTTTCCGTCAATGACCATTCTAATCATTGTCGCATTGGCATAACTACCGACGACAATATGCAGTTACTTTCATACCTGTTATATTTTGAAAATAACAGCTGTAAACTTATTTCCAAGCGACAATTCTAAAATAAACCCGGAAATAAAAGATCGTGATAAATAATAGCCGTGTTGTTAAGAGATATAAGTGAAACCTTTCTTCCAACGAAATAACTCTCGAACACTCAGAAATGCTTTTTTTTTAAATTATTTATTACAAAAAAATTGGTTTTAGTACATGTGTATGCTATGATGGTTGACAATCAACTTACTGAATTAAATGAATTAGAATAAAAAGTAAAAAAAGTACATGTCTTGGTGGGAACGGCTGTCTCTCTTCTTCTTATTGAAGGATAGGAATCTTCTGATATATTTAACGCAAAGAATGTGCTTTTTTCCTTTTAAAGAAGATCAGTGTTTACTTCTTTGTATAGGAAAAAATGACAATCATAAATAAGAATGAATAATTCCGAGGAAATGTCACTCCAATTAAAAAGCATTCTAAATTAAAAAGTTCTTCATGTTGTTCAAGGGGATTTTAGTCAAAACTCCGTTCGCATTCATTAAAGCTTTCGCACTTTTCTTGAAGAGAATATTAAAATAGAAATGGCGGGGGTTAAGATGAGAAAAAAAAACATGACAACTTTGAAAAAGAGGCAAAAACATACTGGGTGTTTAGTTTTATTTTTTACGTCGGTGTCAATATTATGGTTTTTCTTCACTAGTTCAAATTGGTGTTTAACGTTTTTTTTATTGCTAAGGCTAATCTGGACTGGGCCTACTTTGTTTATCCGGAATCCGAACCGCGATCCTCGGCCATATTACTGTCAGTAACCTACCAATTTAGCAAGTGTCTAAAACGACTCTTGCTCACGAGATAAATACCATCATATCCCAAGCAACACGGTTCCAGAGTATATGCGTTTAAAATATGCGTATTTCATATTAGTTTTTTATAAGCAACGTGTAATATACGCATATTAAAAGGCTTTATTTTCCGTTAATCTTAGTATATACGTTTTTTTTTTAAATCACCTTTCAGGGTTCTTGGAGAGATAGCCGGGTTATTAACCAAGGCAGTCTCTAGTTCGCGTTAAGGAACGTTCTGACTATGCGTGCAGTTCCCAGAATTACAGCTTTTTGAGCGGTGGAAAAAACATTTGGCGATAGTCCCAAATCTTTAGTATGTCGCACAGTTTGCTGATGTATTAAGCCATTGACGTATATCACTAGAGGTAAGATTTTTGTTTGTTTTAATTTGTATAACTGTCTAAGTTCATATGCCAGTTCTTCGTATTTTTGTTTCTTTTCTAGATATGCTTTTTGGACGTTTTCGTCTAATGGTGTTATAAAATCTATTATTGTGGCTTCCTCCTCTTTCTTTTTAAAAAGCACCATATCAGGGCGATTATGCTGGACAGATCGGTCTGTAATAATTGTGATGTTCCAGTATAATTTATATTCAGCATTCTCCAGAATATCCTTTGGGTTATACCTGTACCATTCTATTCCTTCCTCCATTAGCCCAGTTCCCAGTGCTATAGCTTGATGGTATATTTTTCCCATTTCATCATGGCGTGCCAGATACTGCCTTGGAGCAAAAATAGAACACCCTGTTGTTATATGTTGGATGCTCTCAGCTGTACGCTTGCATTTCCTACACAGATCACTTTGAACTCTTTCCTTCAAGACATATTTCCTATAGTTCAGTGTCGGGACAACTTGATCTTGTATTGCCAGTATACTTCCTTCGGTTTCTGGGAACAGGTAACCCGCTTTTAGGTAAGTATTTGAATCCAGCATACTAATTGTGATATTTTTTAAATTTGCTCTATACCTGCCATGGAGAATTTTACTGGCCCACTCTTCTTCCATTTCCGTCCAACTTCGTACAGTTGGGCTGTTGGGGTTCATCAAGTCAAGAGGGGAATAGTTTTGGTCAATATCTCGGAGGGTACGGTGAAGCGGTAAGTTGTTACTCAAGAAGTAGTTCCTCAGTTTCTGAACTTGTGTATTGTGGCAATTTTCTACATTTAGAAGGCCTCTTCCGCCTCTTGACCTTGGTATATACACGCGGTTCACACTGGACTTTGGGTGGTGGTATCGATATTTTGTTAACAGAATCCTGATTTTTGTGTCAATGCCCCTCAGGTCTGTTGGGGTCCATTTCAAAACACCAAATGAGTACACAATACTAGGTATAGCCCAGGTGTTTAGTGCCGTAAATAAATTCTTTGATGTGAGTTTAGATGCCAATATGATTCTGACACGTCTTATCAGTTCGTTCTTAAACTGTTCCTTGGTTTCCTTTTTTTCCGTTCTTAAACTGTTCCTTGGTTATACGTTTATTATAGTGAACATTATTATACTGATTTTTAACGTATATTCGAAATATATATTTTAAGTATATAATATTTCGATTTGGCGAAGTCAATTACAATCTTAATTTTTGTAAAATTCAGACCCAAAGGGCATGGTAAGTCATTAACAAACTGTTTTTGTGATTTTCTGATAAATTTGAACTCCAATATAACAAATATTGAAAAGAACTGAATTTCAAAAACGTATATGTATAACCAGTATCAATACATATATTGTATAGAAATAGTCTCGGAAATATATACCTACACAAAACGTTTATTCGATCTATTCACGTGATCAGATCTACCAATAATAGATATCTAACATTTTAGAAAAAAATCCTTTTTTTTCTTCGTGGTTAAATCCGGAGCTGCCCTGGATAAAACTAATAATTTTGAGCGATGTTGGATCTTAGTTATTAATTAGAACGTTATTAGCTTGCTTCATGATTATTAGTTGTTTACATCTGTAAATGTATATACAAGGTGAGTCTTAAATAAGTGCAAATATTTTCAGGGCTGGTAGATCCCGATAAAAGAAACATATTTTCACTTTACTGTTTTTCAAATAAGTCCAAAATAACCGAGTTATTTTAATTTAAAAATTTAAAAAAAAAATGCTTAAATTTTGAGAACCACTCTCACTAGTAATTTACTCTACTCTCATATCATCAAGAGATTGTTTTTTAATTAAAAACTAAAAAAAATCTAAAAATGTTTTTAAAAAATTCCTAATTTTCAAAAAAACCTCATAGACTTGTTTCTGGGGTGTATACTACCCCTCAAATTATTTACAGTTATTTAAGACTCATCCTGTATATACAGAGGTACAGAATACTTAAATATTACCTACGTGAAAACTTTTGTAAAATTTAGAACAATAATGAATATGTACATAAGTTTCCAATTTTAAAGATTTGTGTATGATAGACCAAACAATTATGAAAACAGTAATAAAAAATGTTATTTTTTTACAACAATAATTATTACTGTTGTAGAATGTCGAATGTAGACTATATTCTACATTACTGTTGTTTGTAAAATATTACTTTTAACAAAATTTTATAAATTGTCATTTTTATAAAAATAAATAAATAATAGTAAATATTATCGCAGATTGTCTTTATAAATTCTAATGGTATTTAAATAAATTTGTTGACTGTGTATTATAAATTGTATATGCTTTTTAATTCAGGTTATATTTTTATATTTAAATATTTGATAATATTTGTTGATTTTCGGTAAATATCCAAAATATAAAATCCCCACAACAAAACTTCAATACGCCTAATAATTACGCCTAAACAGTGAGTCTTAAATAAGTGCAAATATTTTTAGGGATAGTATATTTTGACCCCAGAAACACGATTATGAAGTTTTTTTCGCAATAAATTTTTTTTTGAAAACATGGAATTTTTTGATTTTTTTTTAGCTTTTAGTTAAACATAATTTGTTGATAATATTATGGCAACATAGGTAGTAGATTTAATTTACAAGAAAAAAAAATCAGAAAAGATTCAGTGGTTCTCAAAATTTTAGCAAAAATTTTTTGTTTTGGAAATTTTCAAACTAAAATAACGGTAAAGAGAAAATATTTTTTTTAATCGGGATCTACCAGCCAGCCCTGAAAATAGTTGCACTTATTTAAGACTTACCCTGTACATCAGCAAACTGTACGACTTGTACTTGGTGGGTCAAATTCGACGCTTTTAAATGGAAACACCCTTTTCTATAGGAGATAGACGAAAACTAATATCGGTGTCTGGAGCTCAATTTTCTTCAAAAACATGATGGTGAAAACCGCACATCAATATCTGTTACCGTTTCGGAGTTACGGGGTGTTTTTGGGCCCAGTTTTTGAGATCTAAATGAAGTTCGAAAATCGCCGTTAGGGGCGCTTGTGATGATTGGGATACTAGAAATACACAGCTTCTTATGGCAAGAATAACTATTTTGTTATAAATTATAGAGCCAAGTTAATATTTGGGCATATTTTTACCAGAGTTAGCTTTTAGAAACGTGGTTTTTCTAATTGAGCAATGTGCGTGGCTAAAATTGTGAATACAAAACCTTAAATTTGAGTTTGAAAAGTTAGTTAGGTTATATTAGATGCCGGTTTAATATATCCTTTTCCTAAGTTGATATTATAAAAATGTTTTATTATGTGGTTCTTTTTAGTGCATACACGACCGAAGAAACATATAAGCTGCTAAAATAAATCTTCCCTAGAACTGTTGTACAAAAAAGATAGAAGTTCCAGCAACAAATTTATCACCAGTTCAACCTTTGATTTGATGTAAACAGTAATTGTTTCTTGATGAGAAATGCGAATGAAATAGTTTATGGTGTGATTGTGTTAGTGTTTTATTAATAGTTTTGTTGATGCAGTTTAAAGGTTCATAGTTTTTCATTAAAACATTTGAAATTGACATGTTTACATGCAGTTTAGTGTGATACCATTTTAATAAACATTAAAATCTTTCGAACTAGTAGTGGTTTTATGGCGATTGACAGATTGAATAACGAAAATTAAGAGTATTTTATCAGGAATAACTTAATCATAAATGGAAACTGAAGACGAACGTTACCATTGCACCCTTTGATCGGTGTTATCTATTCCATAACTTTTTATAGCTGAAACTAGAGAGTAGGTATATTGAGCTGAAACGTTTCCTGTGTTCAATAGCGTTTTTTCTAGCGTTGAATTGTAAGTTTTAATGTCATTAGCAAAGTTTTGCAAATTGTCACTGTTTCGTAGACAATTAAATTCAAGATATATTATATTCAATGTCACCTAATAATTGTAAAGGTTTTTCTATTGATATTCACTTTATTAATATAAGGTAGGTTTGTAAATAAAATATTAATGAATAAATAATGTACTCAGTTTATTTCAAAAGCACAAAAATACAGAGTTGTGAATATGTATATACGCTGACTTATTTCATCATATAAATATTTATTTAGCAATATTAATACATTACAACTTTTGTTTCTATTAACTAATTCCACTAAATTTAATAAATAAAATATACAATATATAAATTTAATATACAATTTAGCACTTAGATATTAAATATCTATATGTACTATGCCAAAAAATAAAACAGGAACATCATATTATATCAAGAACACAAAAAATTACAATTTAAAAAAAATGCATTCTAAAAAAATACCTAGCTACAATATACCTACATATTAATTTAAAGAGCTTATTCATATTCATAAAAACTATTCTAAATGGTTTATATACACAATCAAAAGTATCAACCACAATACAATAATTTTCAAATTATTTCTTATTATTCCTCAATGAAAAAGCGTCTTGCGACGGCTAGTCAAAAATCTAAATAATTTTTATAATAATTTACAATCTGACATATGCAAATATGTCAGTAGTAATACGTAATTTTACTTTATGAAATTACTACATCTAGAACCGATTTTAAAAAATTGTACAAATTTTCACCCCTAATATAACCCTTTTAAGAGATAAATTTTCAAAAATCGACGTTCTTAGTAGATTCCTAGGACAGAAATAGTCATACTACTTACATTAGGAGCTTTGAAAAGGCTTGGGTTTCTTTCACCCCGTTCTTTATTTGCCTTGTTTTTATTGGGATTCCCACTTGTACAGCCAGGTACAAAGCAATTTCTACCACGACTCATTGTTGTACTGCTAAAAATTCAGTAAATTAACTATAAATTTTATTAAAAACACAATTAAATCGTATACTAACAATGAAAATGTAGTATCCCAGTCGATCGCAGTGCCTCTGCTGTCAAACCGAGGAAGCTGCTTAAAAGTGGGGACAGAAATTTCAAATTTGCCCATTGCCGATAAATCTCCTTTTTTAAGCCCTCCATAGTGAAAACCGCACATCAATATCTGTTACCGTTTCGGAGTTACGGGGTGTTTTTGAAAGATGTGCATTTTTAACAAATCCCTGTAACTTTTTTGCTATGGAAAATTTTGTATTTCTATGAAAACATTTCCAAAGCACCTTTTACCTAGAATTTAATGGTTTAAGTATAATTTTTTTAAAATTAATAATTTAAGAGTTATCAACAGGAAAATTGATTTTTTATTTGGGACACCCTCTATATTTTTAATTAACTGAAAAGAATTTAAAATTACCTTTCAAAAAATATAGCACACTTGATATTTTGTTATAATCCCCTTCGAAATACAGAATTTTTAAAAGTTTACCACTTTTAACTAGTAGGCTTTGGGCCCCTTATTGATAATATGCCCTTAATGGAACTGGAAAATATATTTTTCCAGCAAGACGAGGCACCGCCTCTGAACGCTGAAGTTATCAGCAAATTTTTGCAGCCAATTTCAAGAATAATTGAATAGCTAACCAAGATCCCAGCCGTTGGCCGTCGAGGCCGCCTGACTTAGAGCCCACGGATCTAATCCTATGGATATATTTGCGGAAGAATTAATGTTCCTTATTCTTCCGTATAATCTAGACAAGAATTAGAAATACTTAGTAGTTATGAGAGGGTATCTTTCACCCCCATTGAGTTAATGAATTTCGCGAGAAATGTTCAAAAACTACCCCGTCTGTCCATAACAGAAGACGGTCGATATGTCGAACGCCTGTAGCAAAATCTCATGTCTTGGTTTGCTATTTATTTTTATTGTTATTAAATATAGTTTAAATGTGTTGATGGTGGTTAAATATATTTTAAATTGTTATAAAATTCTGCATCTCTCATAGCAAATATCATTTTCGTTTTAATTGATGCTCACAGCTAGAATTTTTTTGCATTACAGCCGGTGCCGTTCAAAGCCTACTTATTTAAAGCGGGCGAATTTTTATATACTCTATATCTCGAAGAGGAATCAAGTGTGTTATATTTTTGGAAAGGTAATTTTAAATTCTTTTCAATAAATTAAAAATATACAGGGTGTCCGATATAAAAAATCAAATTTTCTGTTGATAATTCTTAAATTATTAATTTAAAAAAAAATATACTTAAACCATTAAATTCTACGTAAAAAGGTGCTTTGGAAATGTTTTCATAAAAATACAAAATTTTCCATAGCAAAAAAGTTACAGCGATTTGTTAAAAATGCATATTTTTGAAAAACACCCCGTAACTCCGAAACGGTAACAGATATCGATATGCGGTTTTCACCATCATGTTTTTGATAAAAATTGAGCTCCAGACACCGATATTAGTTTTTATCTATCTCTTATAGAAAAGGGTGTTTCCATTTAAAAGCGTCGAATTTGACCCACCCTGTACACAAAACATGTACAAAAAAAGGTGAAACAATGAAGTCAGTTATTGCGTATCATGTTTGGTCAAAATAGCACAATAGAAAGTGGTGGGAAGCTCGGGTTGTATACAGGGAACCTCACTGTAAAAGGCGTACATTTAAAGAAGCCGTTTTTATATCAAACAATAATCACAGCTTTAGTAATCCTAGTACGGAAATATCTACGAGATGGCAGCCACTGATAAAACGCACCAATGCAGGCATTCTAAGTGGACAACCACACTGTTGACTGTGCCCAACTTTTTCACGGGTGAATACATGGCTGTAGTATAAAAGCTCTGTAGTTTTAGGAATTAGATCCATCTGACCGAAACGTTGTGTTAATGAAACTAAATAAAGACAAATACCGAAATTCTTTTAGTTTCGAGCTACTCATTTCAAAAATTGGGTTTTGATAAAAAAAATACGATCTTTTACATACATACCGCCATTACTCGCTGACGAGTATTTGACACGCATCAGAAGATGGTCACGCAAGTCGTTTCCTTTCATGAGCTTTTCTGTGACTGAAAAGCCCGATACGTGATGTTATCTGTCTACCGCACTCCAGATATTCAAAAATCTCATTGCTTTGTTGCCTCTTTACTTTTTGGTTGTCGCTTTTAACTGACTTTACAATTCTTCTCCATTCCGTTCTATTGTGAGCTGCCTCTTCCCACTCATTCTGCTTGTTAATTCCCTTTAAGTTTTCGTGGAAAATATCCTTGAACCTTTTCAGTTGTCCACCCGGCCTCCTCTTACCGTCTACAAGCTCACCGTAAAGCAGATATTTTGGTATGCGGTTTTCTTGCATTCTGCATACGTGACCAGCCCATCTTAAGCGAGACTTTGTAATCATAACTTCAATACTCTCGCAGTTAGCTTTTTCAAGGACCGATATGTTTGAGACGTGATGGAACCATTTTATTCTTAAGAGTTGTCTAAGTTGTCTTTTTTGCAACTTGTTTAATGCGTTCATGTGTCGGCGGTACGGGCCCAGGTTTCGCTTCCATATAACACGGTGGGAATTATTATCGGTCGGTACACCGCAAGTTTCGTTTTTGTGCTCAAGTCATGATTGTAGAAAACCCTGTCTTTTAATTTCCAGAATGCTCTTGAGGCGCTGTTAATCTTGTGCTGAATTTCAGAGTCGATATTGGCCGTTTCCGAAATCAAACTGCCGAGGTAATTGAATTCCGCTACATATTCCAACAGTTCATCTCCGATTTTTACAGCATTGTTGTGATCTTCCGGGGGAGTGCACATGATTTTAGTTTTATTGATGTTCAGCTTAAGTCCCAAGGCCTCGTATGCCCATGTATATGTGTTCAACATTTCTTGCAATTGCTGTAACGTATCTGCAACTAGAGAACAATCATCAGCGTATTGAAGTTCTGTGATGAATTTTGTACGTGTTTTTGCCCTGAGTCTTTTTATGTTGAACAGACCGCCGTCGTATCTGTATCTAATGCCCAATCCTCTCTCCTGCAGTTTGCTGTCCACTATAATGGAGAGCGCTGCCATGAATATGTTGAATAGGAGAGGCGCTAAGACACATCCATGCCTAACGCCTGTGTTTGTTAGGGAGGGATCGCTCAGTGATCCATGATATGACACTCTTGATTTGTTGTTGTTATGGAGGCTTTTACACACTGTAAGAAATTTGATGGGTACTCCGAACTTTTTCATAATTGCCCAAAGTGCATCTCTGTTCACAGAGTCGAAGGCTTTTGTTAGATCGATGAATGCAACGTAAAGTTTAGACTGCTGCTCTTTTACTTTTTCCTGTAGTTGCCGGATGGAGAATATGGAATCGACGGTGCCGCGGTTGGTGCGAAAACCCGTTTGCGATTCTGGGAGGATTTTTTCTATACGATCTTTTAACCGACCTAAGACAAGAAAATCATTAGACGATAAAATCTATTTCTCCAAGGCTCTTTGATTAAAAATTAGTAGTTTTAACACATAGCCACTCTAGATTAAAATTTAAAATATTTTTTTAAGCAAAAATGTAAAAAGTTGATTTATGATATGTCATTTTATTCAGAATGTCATTTTCTATCAAATAAAATAAAAAAAAATACCGCGGGTACCATTTAAAAATCAATTCCGGCGAAAAAGGAAGTGACTGGAACTCATTATTGAGGAATACGTCAATCAATCGCCAATTTATGTCTTATACTAACATCACAGTTGGGGGTTGAAACCTTTGGTGTTACACAGCAAAATAAAACACTAAATCACAACAATACGCCTAAACACTTTTACACCATACCAAATCTCGTTTCTTTGTATCAAAAAATAAAATAGTTGTTAAAGTAGGGGTGACTCACTTTTGAAAAACACCCGGTATAGATTATTGTTAGGTATTTAAAATTAAATTTGAATTTATCTATAATATATCTTCAAATATACAAGAATGTATTAGGATTTATAACATTTAGATTAATTTCAAATTTAAATGTTTTTTTTTGTACAATTATTAGATATTTGAAAAATCAAAATATAAAAATGAAATATAAATCATGATACTTTTTAAACTCTAGAGAAAAGAAAATATTTTTAATTTTACTGAACTCTGAGCGGAATCCTTTAAAATGAGTTAAATCTAATGGGTTTTGAAACTTACACAGAACATTTCCTATGTTAAACTGGAAAAGGAAATTGATAACTACTTTTAGATTTTTCTGAACTTTTAAGTGGCTTCTGACGTTTCATAAGCAGTATAAACCAACTATGTAATACGCCCTAGATGGAAGTAAGTTTCATATATAAAGACGGGCTTAGAAACGAAAATGAAATAAAAATAATTTAACAAAATAAGTAAGTTGGGTATATGTTGGAACATACGTTTATATGGCAGGGCAAACAAAATAAAATAACAGTTGGCTTTCTTTTACTTTATATTTATTGAAACTGCTTTGTGCAACAGATAATTCAGTTTCAAATGAAAAATCTTTTGATCATTGTAACGTAAAAACATTATTTTTTTTAATGTAATATAATATGTCTGAAATAATAGATATTTACTTAATAACTCC